GAGAGAGAGAGAGAGAGAGAGAGAGAGAGAGAGAGAGAGAGAGAGAGAGAGAGAGGTTTCTCGCCGATCGATCTCAGTGCCACGTGGCACGGGGTCAATCTGATGGGTGGAGGTAAAGATTGAATGAAGCTAGAGCAATGTAAGATGGACAGGGAATCAGCGGTCGGAAATTGAAGTGAGAATCTCAGACATGGCAGGAGGGGGATTGATCACTGATGAAATGATGGATCTTGATGATTGATGGGATGATTGGTAGGATAATTGGTAGGATGATTGGTGTTCCGGATGATTGGTAAGTAGGATAATTGGTAAGCAGGATGATTGGCTGGGTGATTATTGTCTGCCTTCCAAGCAGGGGATATGGGTTCGATTCCCGTTATCCGCAATTGCGATTTGATGAAAAAAAAACAGAGATAAATAAAATGCGCGTATCAAAATTTACCCATTCAGCGTGATTGGGTCATCATCGTCCATTCTGGATGATCGGTGGGATTATTGATTAGCGGTTAGCAGATATTCCTACGCTCTATTCGGACATGGCCTGGATTCATTTTTGCATGCTTGCCAAGTTTCGATCTCATGTGGTGCGGAGCCCTGTTCTGCGCTTTCCAGTTTGGTCCATTCATGTTTTGAACCCGGGACCTGTTTGTTTTTTCTCCTACTGTGCTGATTTGGGATCGAGTCTCCGGGCACTTCAGTTCAGCTTTTCGGCCTGTGTTTGGCGGTAGACCCAGTCGTGCACTCCCGGCTGAGGTACTTGTCCTGATTCAGTGTAGACCCGGTCATAGTAGTCCTCTTTTTTTTTTTTTTGTGGGAAAGTAGTCGTATTCGTGACCCGTGTCTATTTGTTTGTTTGTTTGTTTGTTTGTTTGTTTTTAAACAATCACCGGAGTAACAAACACAGGTACCATAAAAAAAAAAAAAAAAAAAAAAGAACACGGGTATTCGTGACCCGTGTTTGTTAGTACATATTAGGATTGGCAATCATTAGAGTAGAGCTCTTGGGTTCGACTTTCGCCGACTCCGGCTGATGTTCGCAAGAGTAGAAGAGCCGACGTCGTGGTTTGACGGAACGCATGGTGGTTCTTGGATGTTGTGGTTTGACGAAGAGAAGAGAGCTATTGAGTTTCAGAATCTATCTTCTTAATCTTGTCGACTTGCGTGAGTTTGACCCTTGTACTGTGATTTCCATCTCACATCTGAAGTGATCAGGCCCTTAGGACCTTGCTCCACAACTCTCCACGTGCCGAAAACTCAAAACAATTGGTGAATCTTTCCGCATTCTAGCGGAAGATTCATTCTCATTTTGCACATTTGGAGTGTGCTGGAGCAGACCCTTTCTCTCCTTCTTTTGGCCCTCGCTCCTCAAGACATTGGTAACGAATTGGCGTTTGAAGCTCACAATTAAAAAAAAAAAAAAAAAAAAAAAAAGGAAGAAGCTCACAGCAAGGTGTGGATTGAGGGATGGAAGGGCGTGGGCGGTGGTACGCGCGCGCGCGCGAGCGAGCGAGCGAGAGAGAGAGAGAGAGAGAGAGAGAGAGAGAGAGAGAGAGAGAGAGAGAGAGAGCAGTGTGGAGAGAGGGATGGAAGGGTGTGGGCGGTGGCGCGGACGCGCGCGCACGAGAGAGAGAGAGAGAGAGAAAGAGAGAGAG